TGGCTCCGTGTCTTCCTGGTCTGCAGACCGGGGAGACACGGAGAAAGCCCCGGAGTACACAGGCGGCAGGACCACGAGGTCCCACAGTCCTTGTCCTCCAGGGCGAGCCCCGTTCGTAACTGCTGATCCGACGTAAGTCGGATCCGCGTAAGTCGGGGACTGCCTGTACAATTGCACAGAATAGCAATCCTTGCATTGAAACTAAGAGGAATCTTCAGGCTTCACAAACCTACTGTAGCTGTCTGAGTATGTCCAATTCTTTCCATGAAGGGCCATTCTGGTGGTAGGAAGGGACATGAATCCATGCACAAATTTAAGCAGCCAGACATAGCAAAAGTGGTTATGGCTGCTGAAATGCAATATTTCCAGGAAAGGAGCAAGGAGTGCTGAGAAACTCAGACCCAAGAAGATAGCATATGTCAATTGGGGTGACACTGAGGTAGAGTACGAGAGGGTCACTTACCCCCAAATACCATGGGCAGGCGGGATTGGACAGCAGTTAGGAGGAGGACTAGCAGGGTGGGAGAGGACGGGCTGCTGCCTGCAGCATGAATTATGATGGATGATCACTCATTGCTGAGTTCAATTATTTTCCATGGGAGTTGTGGACCCTCAGTTGGCTGATAAGGCCAATCATTGAACCACAAGCTCTATTACAATGAGGACAGATTTTTCAAGGTACAGGAGGAGGCTGTTGACCATGACTAGAAGCCAGTCTCCCCTTCCTCGTGCACCTCTTCTCTTCATCAACTTGTTGGTGGGCAAGTTCAAAATGCAGGGAGCCATTGTGCAGGACTTCTCTCCATTTGAGCAAACCTCGGTGAGTGTCTCCCAAGTGTCAATGTCAATGCTGTACTTCTTTAAGTTATCCTTTAGCAAGTCCTTGTAACGCTTCTGTTGTCCTCCCACGTTAAGGTATCCTTTCAGCTGAGAAAACAGGGTATTTATCAGGACATCCAATCTTCAAAAGTACAGTCCAAAGGGCATGGAGATTCACTGAGTCAAAGGTTTTAGTTAGATTTATAAAAGCCATGTGCAGTGGTCAGTTTTGCACCTAACACTTTTCTTGACATTCAATGAAGATCATATCCACAGTTCTGCAACATGGTTGGAAACCACTCTGTGACTTTGTGGCGAAGTCAGGCCCCCTTCGCCTATATCCCCCACCCACAGTCTCGGCTTTCCGAGTCCGGCGCCTCTCGCCCGGACCCCGAGTCGGTGGCCGCCCCACTCGGGCTTTCGCCCAGCCCGCGGGTTCGGGCTGGCCCTCAGTCCTGCTTATGATGCTGCGGCGGGGCTTGGTCCTCCGCCGGGCTCGCCCTTCAGTCCGCTCGGGGCACAGGGCGTGTGGCCGTCCGTCGGCGGCCTCAATCCTCCGGGCTCCCGGCTGGGGAGTCTCGCTGCCCAGGGCAAGGGCTATGCGGGTCCAGACTCCTTCCTCCGTCCCGCTGGCTCCTCCGGTTCCGCTCTCCTGGCTGCCTGCCAAGGGAAAGTGAATGCTGGCAGCAGCTTCCTCTCCTTCCGGCCCCTCCCCCTTTTGAGCCGGCACACCAGGGGCGTGCCGCTCACCCTGGCGTCTCCCCCCCGCCTCCTCCTGGGTCCTGCTGCCTGCCTCGCCCGGCGCGCCTGCGGCTGCGCGCCCTCGCTCCTCTCCCCGGGAGCTTTCCCCCGGGCTCTGCTCCGCCGCGCCACCCGGCGCCGCTCCGGGGGAGGGGCTGTCAGTGCGGGGAGCTTCCTCCCCGTCACAGACTTCAGTAAAATTTCTTCTGAAGGGGCAGAAGATGGGTTGCAAGGACCCATGCCAGAACTTTGCATACAACAGGAATGAGAAAGATACTGCAATAGTTTCCACAGTCCACTTTATCCCCTTTCTTAAAGAGGGTAACAATCAAGGTGTCCCTCATTTCACTGGGTATCTCCTCCTTTATCAAGATTTTTTAAATGATAAGTAGGTTGAGCTGCCAGATTAACTCCTGTCCACTTTAAAAATTTCAGCCCATCCGATCTGGACCTGCTGCCCAGTTGTTCTTCATCTGCTTGATGGCACTGTATATCTCATGCAAATTGGGAGTGTCTCTGAGCTCCTTCTTAGAAGATCTTTGGAGGATTTGCTCAAGAACTTCATATGTAACTGTGGAGGTACAAAATAAGAAGATCTTCAAAATGTTCTT